GACGGTGTGGCCAGGGGCGGGGGACGGTGAGGCTAGGGCGTGGGATGATAAACTGACGGGAACTAGCACAGCAGTGGACAAGCCGGTGCTGTGCATGAGGTCAGGGCGGGGACCAATCCGGGACAGTTCCGTGGCCATTAGTCACTTGAAACCTGTGTTTGTGGACAAGCTTCTGCCCACGGCCGAGGCCCCCAGTGAGGAGGTTGAGGCCTGGGAGCTTCTGCTGCTGTGCCGATTCTCTGAGCAAAGGGGACCCAGTCCCGAAGGCCGTTGCGTCCTATTAACGTCACATCCCCCCTAAATCTTGTGAGGTGTGTTATGTTTAGTCCAGAGAGGATCTTTGGTTTTAAACTAGACCATGATTTTACTTAAACCAATTCCAAATAACGTAACTTAAGGGTGTTTTTATCACCAGAGTGAGTGAGTGCTGTTGGTTGAAAGAGGGAGGCTGTCGGCCGCACTGAATCCCGGGCCTCTCGGGCCTGTCCTTTGTCTTCTCAGAATTTGAGGTTAACGTCGTGGTGCTGCTTCAGGGCGACCACCTCATCACCGAGAACTTCCCGCTGAAGCTCTGCCGGATGTAGGGATGGAGCCGGAGGGAGGATGGAGCCGGAGGGAGCACGGAGGTGCAGGGCGGGGCCCCTCCCGGAGCCGGAGCCGGAGCCACCGCAGGCCCATCTCAGGGATTCTGGGCAGATGTGGACCTGACCCCTCAGATCCGGTCACCTCCTTCCTCGTGTCCTCCACGCTCCTGCTCCCAGCGGCGCCTGGTCAGTCCTTTCCTTCGAAAGTCATCGGGACTTCCCAGTGTCTTGGCAAGATCATTTCCTGTGACTCCCGCCTTCCAGCTGCTCGTTAGGGACTGAGGACATGTCTGACCACGGTGTGAGCTTCGCTGGAGTCAGGTCCTGGGGACCTCAGGGGCCAGGCCTGTCTGACCGGGTCGCGACGTGGCCGGGACTGCGAGCCCAGAGCCACTACCCTTCGAAAGTCATCGGGACTTCCCAGTGTCTTGGCAAGATCATTTCCTGTGACTCCCGCCTTCCAGCTGCTCGTTAGGGACTGAGGACATGTCTGACCACGGTGTGAGCTTCGCTGGAGTCAGGTCCTGGGGACCTCAGGGGCCAGGCCTGTCTGACCGGGTCGCGACGTGGCCGGGACTGCGAGCCCAGAGCCACTGCCGACAGGGACAGGGACAGGGACGGGGACGGGGAGCTCCTGGCTGGTGGTGCCCGCAGATGCGCTCCGGGGAGGGGTGCCGGGTGGCCTCCACTGCAGGTGTGGGCATGTATTCCGCGCTGCCCTGTGGTTCTCCCACATTTTTCATGAGAACTTTAAAGTGTTCTTGCTGTCATGGGGGTGAGGGAGTTGGGTGACAATGGCTGAAGTGGTAAGTCTCAGGACCTGGTATGAAATCTGGTGCCACCATATTCCCAGAATGCACTTCCATGCCAGCCTATGTGAGGGGCACATATGTCCATGCCTGGTGTCGGGTGCACTGGCTGGTGCAGGATGGGGCCCTGGACCAAGGAACCCGGCCTCTGCGACCTCCAGAGACCTGTGTCAGCCAGACCCCTCTGGTTCAGGGTGTGGTGGGCCTGTTACACCCACTGCTCCCCCCCCACCCCCTCCCCTGTCCTGCATTCTTCCCACCAGCACACTGAACAGTCCTCAGAAGTAAGCCCTGCGCTCTGCAGGCCACCTGGCCTTCCCTTCCAGTCCTCCCTCCTGGACAGGCTCAGGCCGGGCGGCTCAGGCTGGCGGCCGTGGTCCCCGCAGCCTCTGGTGACGAGAGAGGCTGAGGGCCAACAGCTGACTCAGGCTCGGCTTCGTCGGGCCGTCGGTTCCCTCAGAGGACACTCTGCTCCGTCTCCTTTGATGCTCACGTGACACTAACAATGACCTGTCTTCGATGATGTGTTCACAGTGGCAGAAAACAGAGGCTATACTTTTTGGTAAATTTCAAAGGTAGAAATCATGTTTAATGAAGAAAAAAAAGCTAAATGAGAACTTTGAAAAATGGTTTGGGATGTGTATTGCTATATAAGTTCTTTACTAAACCAGTTTATGGATACAAATATAACAAGTGCTGTCCTTAGGGAGTAATTCTTACCTGAAGAGGATCCACAGCCCATTTCCTTCTGCCCAGGCGTCCCAGGCAAGGGCCTCCGGCTAGACATTCCCTTCTTGGCCAGACACCTGCACTGTGGTTGCCAGGGAAACGCGGATGTTTGGGTGTCCCGGACAGCAACCACCTGCTGCTGCCCAGGCTGGCTGGGCATCCACTCTCAGGCTCAGGGTTGTCAAGTTCTCCCGTTCGGGCCCGAGGAGAGGAGGAGGAGGAGGAGGAGGGGAGTCAGAGCCGTGAGTGCACTGTTCTGGAAAGGTCCGCTGGGCGGAGCACATTCTGGCCGTCAGAGCTCCAGCAGGATTGGGCTCAGTTCCCAGCCACGCTGAGCTCCAGGGCAGGCGGAGAGGAAAGCAGAATAAAATGTCAAAGCCGAAGCATCGCGCCTGGGTTTGTCGAGTCCCTGTCCGAGGCCCGCTGTCCGAACGCGGCGGGACGGAAGCTGACTGGCTCCCCAGGGGAGTCCACGTCCTGAACCTGAGTGTCACTGGCCCTTTGAAAACTTCGGGCTGAGTTGCCCCACGGCCAGCGGTGGTTGGGCTGTAGCAGGTCACAGGCCCTCCCGCATCCCTTCTGCTCCCGCTTCTGGTTCAGAAACGGTTGTATTGCCAAGGACCCCCGCCTGCCTGGTGAGGGACTTAACTTCCTATTCCTTTGCCTCTAGGTGTGGTCATGTGACAGGTGAGGGGCTGGCAGTTGATGACAGAAAGGCCATGTTCCCCACCTTCCTGCCCGTCCTGGGGAGGGGCCACCTAACGCGGCCCAGTTCCACCTGCGCCGAAGCCGCCCCCCCACCTGCCTCCTCCGGGCCTCACCCTGACCTGTCACTGTGTCCTGTTTCCCCCCCACGGCATCTGTCACCTCACCTGTTGAGAGGCACCAGGGCTCTGCTCCCTCTGCTCACAGTCCGGTCCCCTCAGTGTGGATCCGCTGGATCAAACAGGTGAAGTCCGGACACGGAGGGAATGTGTGCAGCTGGATCCAGTTTAGGGATGACGTGGTGATTGAAGACCCAGGCGTCCCAGGCAAACCATGTTCTAGTCCCAAATTCCTTGCTCTGAGTGTAAGTGTCGGGGAACGATCTGAACCCACTCAGAGCTCGAGAACGCTGGATAGTGAGTGACCCCCCAGCAACTCCTGAGGGTTTATTCCTGCTTCACAGCCGAGCGCAGGAAAGCCGAGGCCTGCCCCGTCCACGTCTGTTGACCTGTGGCCATCCTGCCGCCCCTCCAGGGAGAACTGGAGTCAATGGTCACAGCCACCATGAACCACGGCCCTTCAGATCCCAGCTGGCATTCCAAAAGGGGGAAGAAGTTTGTGAAAGACCCTGGGAAGGACTGTCTACGCTCACTTATGCTGGGGCTCCGGATGGGAGATGAAACATTGCAAAGCGAACCATTGCCTGGGAAAACGCTCCCTTTACAATATAAATAATTCCGTAACCACGAGACTCAAAACAAGCCACCTGAGTAGAAAAAAACCACACGGGGGTCTGAGGTGGAGGTGAGAGTAGGTCTCCCAGGCCTGTGCTCTGCACTCCGACCACTGGGAGCTGTTTATGTCTGAGACTGAGCAGTGAGTATTCAGAGAATGCAACTTTACTCAGAAACTCAAGGCACCGAATTTATAGAAGCAAAGCTGATCTGACTGCACTTACACAAAATGTAGTCAAATTCCTAGAGCAGGTCATTCGTAAGAAAGGGAAAAGGCAGACCACGCGTTGACAACTCAGTGAGGAGCCTGGATACCTGGATGCCCTCCTGTGAATGTCCTGGTGAAACGGGAGTGCCTTGGCCCTGCCCAGTTGGCAGGATTCTAACTTGGTCGGGTGTTTCATCCCCAAACCCAGCCAGTCCCCCTAAAGCTTTCCGTGTAACATACAGCAAACACACTCTGCAGGTTTTAAGTCACTTGGGAGACTACAAAGACATAATTTGCTCCTGCTTCTTTAAGACACTATATTTGGGGGAGCACCTGCTCAACCAAGACCAAGGGTACAGAGGTTTGCCTGTGTGGTCCCCTCGACAAGGCCCCGAGGTGGGAGCCTGGGGGACAGCAGCCCCAGAGAGGAGGCTCCGAGAGGCAGGGCTGCTGAGCAGGGGACCACGAGGTGGGGCGCCACCCCATTCTCAGGGGTGAGGACTAGCGCTTCAAGACCAAGCCTCTGGGTCTAAAGTGACAGGAATGGGACGAGCTTTCTGTCTGCAGATGGGCAGCCACTGATGGGGCCGCCAGGGGAGGCCGGCCGCCCAGACACGCTGCTGTGCTTGTGGACACACCGCGAAAAGGGTGAGCTCAGGATTCCCAGTGGAAAGGAGCAGAAAAATAAGTTCTTAAATAAATTATTCTTTAAAAGTTTCAACACCCATATGCATTAAAAAAAAACCAAATTCAGCCCTAACCGGTTTGGCTCAGTGGATAGAGCGCCAGCCTGCGGACTCAAGGGTCCCAGGTTCGGTTCAGGTCAAGGGCATGTACCTTGGTTGCAGGCACATCCCCAGTGGGGAGTGTGCAGGAGGCAGCTGGTCGATGTTTCTCTCTCATCGATGTTTCTAACTCTTTATCCCTCTCCCTTCCTCTCTGTAAAAAATCAATAAAAATATATTTTTAAAAAAAGAAAACCCAAATTCAAAGCCCAATACATAAAAAAGATCACATTTAAGAAATGAGCTTTTCCTAAGTTTTTTACTACTATGTTCCTTTATATCTTACTGAAAATACATATTTTTTAATTCATAGGAAATTTGCAACAATCAATTATATATTTTTGCCGCAAAGAAAGAGAAAATCTCAACCAAATTTTAACAAGTAGAAATTGCCCCAAACCCTATATACTCTCCTGTAGTGCAATAAAATTAAAAATTAATAAAAGGAAAATCAAATACAATATAAGCACTTGTAAGTTATACAACATTCTTCAAAGCGGAAACCAAAACTTCCTTCACGGGCCCTTTTCAACGTAGTGGAAACGAGCACACTGTACAGTAACAGCTTTGCACTGTGGCCAGTGCTGCAGCCAGAGCCAAATTCATAGCCTTAAATGTTTTTACACCACAGAGAATGAGAACTAATGAGTTTACATTCAAATTAAATGTTTTATAAAACAAGAAAAAAAGAGGAAAGAATGATAAAAGCAGGAATTCATTTGAAAGCAAAAACATCATAGGAAAATGTAAAAATAAGAACATCAGTTGGTACTTTGAAAAGACTAATTCAATGGAAAGATCTTTAATAGAACAAAACAAAACACGAAGATGGCGGCACAGGTAAACACCTATACTCGCCGCCTCCCACAACCACATCAAAATTACAACTAAAATACAGAACAGCCATCATCCAGAACCACTGGCAAGCTGGCTGAGTGGAAGTCCTACAACTAGAGAAGGGAAGAAAACAGCACACTGAGATTGGTAGGAGGCACAGAACTGGCTGGTCCGGCACCCACATGTGCCACTTTTTTAATTGGGAGGGAGATTGTCTCTGCAGAGGCCAGCCCAGAGGAGCAAAGGGTCCCAGCCCCACACCAGACCTCCAGCCCAGGGTCCCAGAGCTGGGAAGAGAAATCCCTACAGGCAGTAAGAACCATGGGCTAGAGAAACCAGTGCGGATTGGGGCTCAGTGACACAGAGGCTGCTGGAGACCCAGCTGTTCCTCTTAAAAGACCAGCACCACGAACTGAACTTATAAGGTCCTGCTTCCTCTGAGCTCCAGCACCAGCGCGAGTCTCTGGGGAACACAGACACGAGGAGGAACTGGATTGTCTGGCATCGGGGCAGGAACTCCGGGGCGGCTTTCTCCCAGACAGAGGTTCTCTCAGGGATAATTTTTCCTATGCTGGGACCTCCCC